GTAATGTGTGACTGGGCCTTGTGTCACTTTATGTTGAACAAATTGGGCCCCCAGATCAAAAAGTTTAAGAAACCCTGACATAAGCCACCTCTATAATTAAGATAAATGAGATTTAATCTGTCTTGCTAATCAGTACATAAATATGTAAAAACTAATAAATAAAAAAACAATAAGAATTAAACTGATACAATGCTCTGGCTCTCACCGACTGTGTTGTGCCAGCGGTTGACGGCAAACAGGCGGCTGCACGTGACGGTGACGGCTGCTGGTATGCTGAGGTGAGGGAGCGTGTTGGCCGCCACGTGGGTGACAGGGGAGTTGGAGGGGAACTTGAGCACCATGATGACGTCCTGCTGCATCTGATCCTTAAACATCAGAGGGCTCTGGGGAAGGAAACACTGGTGAGACAGACAGAGAGAAAGAAGAGGAAAGGACAGAGGAGAAGGGACAGTGGGGAGAGGAAAAGGTTCGAGGAGTCGGGGAGGGGGTGAAGATGGAGGTAAAAAAAGGGAGAGACAGAACGGATGGGACAGAGGTAGGGAGGGGAAAAGGTAAATTAGTGGGAGCAAAGGGTCAGAGCAGGTACACACACTGAGGGCAGCCTGAGAACTAGGAGGAGGAGGTTGGTCTGGTAGGTCAGGGATTGGGAGGTTTGGGTTGACATGGATGGCTCTGATGTGGAGACACTAATGCTTATTAATGCTCAGGGGTTGCAGGGAGAATAAAGAGACTAAAACCCCATTACATACTCTAGTATGTAATAAAATCTCATAGAAGAGTTTGCTATTGGAGGCCATTTAGTAGGCTGGCCAAATACAAAAGCACCTAAGCTAACCCAGTCAATGCAAATTTAAGACAAAACACAAACAAAAAATTAATTTTTTGTCACTAGTTTGCATCTGAAGTGTTTTTTTTTTATTTCCTCTGGAGGCTCTCTGAAAGCACATACAAAAAAAATTTGTTTTGCTGAATCTGTCATGTGATTCTCACCAGGTGCATGGCAGAGGAGCGAGGTGGGTGCGGCTCAATCAGCAGCTGAGAGGGGACCTGACCACTGACCTGGATCTGGGTCTCAATCGCCTTCAGATAGAAATATGGAGATTAGCATTACAAAAAAGGAGAAAAAATTGAATATTGAGAAAAAACACAACAAAATAAAAATACATTTTCTTCCAAAACATTCATGTAAAGACTCCCAGCATGTGCTGTTAAAAGGGTTTGTGCAGTGGAGCTTCTTATTTAGCGGATTAGGTTTTTTATTTTTATTTTTTTTTATTTTTTTGCTAACTTTAGAAACCATTATTGGACCGATTAGCTTCATTTAAATTAGGTTGTTGCAAATTTGAAGTCGACTAAAAAAATTCACAAGTGTAAAACTTGAATTTTTAAACCATTTACCACAAATTAAATTAAAACTGTCCCCTCTTACAAGAAGTGCGGGACGTGTCAGGCACCATGTGTGCAGCAATGCAGCATCTTTAGCAGCTAAACTTCAAGCTAAGAGTGTCAAAAGGAAATAAAACATTTAGCAATAAACAAATAACAAATACAAAAATGGACTACATCTAAGTTATAGTACAGAAAGTATTTGCTGTTTGACTGACTTCAAATTTTATTTATTAAAATACAAACTTGATGAAAGAAATGCTTTTATACTGAAAGGGGTAAACTGGAAGTATCACACCTTTAAGTTAAACCAATAGAAAACTAACAGGTTTGCATCAGTCCCCCCAGTATTTACCTGAAAGGAGATGAAAACAGACTGAGTGACAGTCGTCTTAGCGGTTAGCATTAGCTTTCACTAATTTTTTATCTGTTTAGTGGATTAGTCTTAGTGGTGCTAAAATTGTTATTAAGAGGATTAGCGATTAGTGAACATTTTGGTTAGCTGTGCCGACCACTGGGTTTGTCTTAAAGTTGTAGCATTTTATTATTAATAACAAGATGTATGATTCTGGAGGAGGAGAGTTTAAAAAATCTAGTAATATGCCATGGAAACCAGAATTGTAAAGTAACTAAGTACAAATACTTTGTTACTGCACTTAAGTAGAATTTTTGGATATCTGCACTGTACTTTAGTAATTATTTTGCAGCGTTCATTTTACTTCTACTTCTTACATTTTAACACAGTTATCTGTACTTTTTTACTTCTTACATTTTTTWAAAAAAGCCAAAAGTAGAAAGTCGTTACTTTTATTTCATTTTGCTTGTTTTCATTCCAGCTTGTTATTGTAAAAAATAAATACCGTCCATATCAACTGTGCCTCCTAGATAGAGTGAATTTAATTGTGGTTGAAGGAGAAGTATAAACATATAAAATTTGGATACCGTCTTAGCTAGTTTGTACACAAAAATCACGTCACTCTCCAGCAGGACATGATCAATAAAATAAAAGTAGTGTACTTAAGAAGTATTTGTATTTCATGAATTATATTATTTCATTTGGCCGCAGTCCTCAGATAGATTTTCATTTTGGGGAAAAGGTTTAGGCACCCTTAATATATGTATATAAACTGAAACAGCTAGACTAGTGC